GAGATGGGAGCTGCAGCCCCTGGTCTGGGACACACCCTGGTCACTGGCAGTGCCGTGCCAAACTGAGCCAGGCACACGCCCAGGTGTCCTCTCAAGGGGACACAGCTTGTGTTCTCCCAGAGCCTGCAAAGGGGTGTGCTCCCCACCTGAGCTGTGTCACCTCAGGCCACGGCTGGGAGGACACAGCTGACACTCCCATGCACCTCAAATGCCATTTTCAACAGGGCCTTCACTTGGACAGGCTCTCACTTATTCTGCTGTTGCTTGAAGTGATCAAAATCTCCCTATACTGAGGGACCATCAACCAACTCAGAAAAGCCACTCCAATGCACATGGTGGGACTGGCCCTTGGTGGCTGGAATTTATGTGACCTAACTAAGGGCAGTGGTGAGAGGGATGAAACTCCTCCATTATTTCAGTGCCCAGCTGTCCAAAGATGTCTGTGCTCTGGTTTCAATTGAACAAACAGCTTTTACACATGTTCCACATCATTATACAAGAACAACGGATTATAAAATACCAAAATAGTGATGTAACTTCAGAGCTGGGACAGACAGACCCAGACTCCATCGTGGCCGTGTCTATCTGAGGGACTCTGTATACAGACATGTCATACAAGCTAGGACTAAAAAACATCCCTCCCTAGCCAAGGTGAGCAATCACTGTCTGTTTTCACAGCTTGTTCATACATATAAAGGAATCTGAAACAAGTGAGTACCTCCTGACTGCAGACTCAGCAATGAGGAGGACCCTCCATGTTACAAATACATTTAAATAATCTGTTACAAGGAGAAAATGCAGAAGAAAGTTCTTTACACTTCAATACAGAGCATGTGATGTGAAGGGACTATCGTGCACTGCCAGCCCCCTCCATCCCTGCCTTCTCTACATGCCTAGAGACAATTCCAGCTGAATTTGATACCATCAGGATTGAAGTCAGGTTGAGAGGCTGTAAACAGCAAGCTAACTCTTTAAAGAGAGGCCAAGTGCATGAGAGGATAGTGTACATGGCTCTGTTTATTCCTGTGACCTTTCAGCATGAGGCAGACCCCCTGCAAGAGGCAGCTGCCAAAGGTATCTGAGGCACAGGTGCTTCATTAGCTCAGGTAACTGAAGCTGCATCTTCAGCTTGGCTGGGATGAACCCTCTCTGCAAGCTGTGGGTCACTGCAGTGACCGTGCTAGCTCCCTGAAATAAGTGAAAACAGCTCTTCTTCCAACACAGGAAGAGAAATCCAGGCAGGTAAGTGCTCTAGGGAGGAAATTACTCTGTCCCTGTACCATCACCTGGCACTGGCAGGGGTTGCTCTCCTTGACACACTTCTGATGGCAGCCTGTGATGTCCAAAAATTGATTCTCAAAGTCCTGAAGGCACTTGGTAACCTGAAATGCTAATTATCTTGTTTATTTGAAGATGTTTTGCCTTCAAAGTGCTCTAGCATTCCCCCTGTCCCTCCCAATTTTGAACATGGACCCTCACAATCAGCTACTGCTGGCCCACAGGAAGTAGGATAAAGCCTCCCAGCAGTGGGAACTTCTATCAATAATTGATTAGAAGAGGGACCTCTGCAGAGGTCAGCTTTCTTCAGCAGCTGAACACCACCCCTCCCCAGGGCATGATTAGGCCAGCAGAACCCTTGTCATTAATTCCTCCATACAGGGATGTCCACCCTTCTTTTGTCTCCCTGCTCACACACATGCAGGAACAGCATACTAATTTCAGTGTTTGATCGACTGTATTAGAACTAACAAAAACTGAAGGTTAATTTTGAAGTAGAGAATGAGCCTGTTTACTGCAAGGAGAAACTTGGATGGGAATTGTCAAACATCAGAGAAAATATCCAAATCCAATTAAAAGTCAATAGAGATGGGATGTCAACCTCTTCAAAACCCTTCCAAATTTTTTAAATATAATGCCACTGATTAAGTTGGAATTCTTTAAGAAAATATTACAAGAAAACATTATCCCTTATTGGAGAAGGGAAAAAAAAAAAAAGAAAATACTAACCAGACTAACCAGCAAACAACCTCAAAACCCTGTGTCCTCCCCCTAATCTGGGCTAGGCTCAGCACTGCCTCTTGTCTTACCCAGCCAGCAGTGAAGAAAGATCATTCCTCTCTTCACTCTACCTGTAAGCAATTCCTCTTGCATCTTAGAAAGCATTTGGTGTAATCCAGTATGTAAAGTCAATTTAGAGCTGCTATCCTCTATAAGCATGCCATACCACAAGGAATAACCATAGTAGCAACCTTTCAATTTCCATGGAAACCCTCCTTGGAAAACAAGACACAAATCCCGGGGATACAAATCCCTTAAACCTATATAAATTCACACTTGGAAGATGCAGTCTACAATCCAAAAAAGGGACTGGGAAAGGTTTACCACACAGAACTCTTGGTCATTCTGGTGCACAGAACCCCTCACAGAGCCAGCCTGTGCAGCATCACTGGCTGATGCCTCCCTGCATCCTCTGCCACATCCTTCCCTGTATCCCTGAGCATCCCTCTCTCTCCCTGCAGGGGTACCACACCAACAGCATCCCCCAAAACAGCACCACAGCAGTGATGGAAGTGCCTAGGAGACTGACACCTTTCCATGCTAAGCTTTTAAAGCATTAAAAGTGTACTGAAGTTATCAGCAACAAGATGGAAATTCGCACTTGTTTTCAGCAAGACCTTGTGGCCTGGGCTGGCAGTGCAGAAAGGAGGTCTACATAGCTGTTATCATAAAAAACATTAAATTCTAATAATAACAAAAAATCCAAACAAAACTAACCTGCAAAACAAAGCACAGAAGGGAAAAACAAAAACAAAAATGCAAAATTGGGTGGGAGTTAACAGGAAGTCTCTGATCTCTTCCAGGTCATTCCCTATCAGAGGAGAGTACAGAGCAAAAGCTGAGGCTTTAGAAAAAAAGCACTAAACCCAAGCAGGACATAGTATGTGGCAGCTGGTTTACTGATTCTCTGCTCAAACCAGGCATTAAAAACTATTTCAAGGGTAACTTCCTATGGCTGAGAAATTCCCTGAATTCAATGCCACATTAACCTGCCTGACAGACTTACATAGTTTATGACCTTTGCCAGAACCCTGAAAAACAAAACAAGACCTACCCAAAAAAAACCCCAAACCAACCAAAAGAGAGGTGTCACCTTCTTGGATGGTCTCTGTATATCCTGAGCAGAATCTTCTCACCTGTTCCTTTTCTCATCTTTTTTCCTGTTACCTTTTAATTGATGCATGACTACTTCTATCTTAAAAATGTAGATTAAAAATGTATTATCAATTTCTTCCCGATTAATATTTAGTCAATTAATTTACTCTTAATTGCTGGTGCGATTACAAGAATTTCAGCAATTCTTCCACATATTCATCAGGTGTTTGACACATATCACATTAAATGAGGAATGGCACATCCAGCTGAGCTTCCAAAAGTAATATAGACAAGTAGAAAAGAAAATGCAACCCCTTGTGTTAGAATGTGACTGGGCTACAAATTACATGGTCTGAAACCTCACAGAGTGAACAGCACTCTGTCCCCGCTTGGCTGTAAGTCTGAAAGCAAAAGTTTTACTTTTGCCCACACTCTTTATCAGAGAAGTTGTGAAAAGTACTTGGCTTTTATTCTAATACAGAGAAAAGTGAAGCAGAATCAGGGAAATACACTGGGGAACAGGTGGAACACAGATAAAAATCCAATTTATTCTCTTTCAAGCGGGCGCAAAACAAAACATCTCCCCCAATGACTGTGTCATATTGCTCAATATTTTCTGCAGAAATCACCCTTTTGCAATGACAGTCTAAGAAAAGCAGAGGAAAGCAGATACTCAGCTTGAGTGTGTGTATGATTAGAATTTAAGGAAGTGAGAGCCCAAGTGAAGTACTCCATGTTCAGCTACAAACCCCAGAGGAAGACAAAAATAATCTTCCAATGCTCAGCGAGGCTGTAATGCTCCTCCTGTGTTGTCTCTGTGTCCCCACAAGAAATGCTCACCCCACCACCCAGCCCACTACTTCCAGCACAGGGTGGGTAAAGGAGTGAAGCATTTTGAATTCTCATCTCCAGTTACTTCTGGGAAGAGGATAGAAATTGTTTGTGTGCTCAGCGCTGACCTGCATCAGGGTGTGATCTTCATCTGCTTTTGTCGTGACAGAGTGGAAAGTAAGAACACAACACTTTTCTAGGCTGAACAATTGCAGGTCAGTAGTGCCTCAGGTTCTTGATTAAAAGTTACCTTTGGAATGCACACTGGCATCACAGAACAGGAATTCCCAGAAATTCCAGTTTAGGCACCTGAGTGCTGTGAAACTTACAACCACACGTGATAATCCACCTCAAATACCACCAGTAACACAAAACTTTGTCTAATTAAAGTAATTATTGAAGAAAAAGGGGGGGAAACAGGGTGATAAACACTAGCAATATTAGATTATAATATACAGAGTTCTGACTCTACTGATAATTTTTACAAATTACTCAGCAATATCTCAAGAATGAAACAGTGAAATAAACTGTCATTATTCATTCTTAGAAGGACATCAAGTGAGGAGAAAGTGTGGTTAGGACTGATAGGAAGAAGATTAAGCACGAAGTATATACAGTCCAAAATTTTCAGTCTGTAATATTGTGAGTATACACCACAGAGCTTCAGAGCAGAGACTGTGACATGATTTTCAGAGGTGACAACACTCATGTTAGGGGAAACGTTTGGCCAAAAAATTTGGCTGAGATATCCATTCAGGCAGGTAAACTAGATACCTGGATGTTAATGAAGACAGACACATTAAGATTCTTACCCCTTGAAGCTCCAAAGATTACAAAACAAGTACCATAGCTTACAAAAAAACTGGAATCAAAACCTAAAAATGAACCTGAAGTACCTCTAAAACGAAAAAAAATGACACTTCAGGCATAAATTCTCAAGTCCTAAATGAAAATGTAATTATACTTTGATACGCACACCCCCAGCCTCAGCAGCATTTCCAGTTTTGAGAGGTTACCTGGTAAAGATTCCATCCACAACACCAACTGTGGCCTCTTCTGCAGGAACGAAAGAGCCGATCTGTGCCATGACCGTGATCAGTGCCACCTGCCTGATGTAGGAGCTCTTCCCTCCCATGTTGGGCCCAGTTATTATCATGACCCTTTCTCCATCTCCCTGCAAACACAAAGCAGTGGTGAAATACATTGCCCTGCACGTGGGGCTCCTGCCAGGAAGTCTGGAGTGCTTAGAAGGATACAGGACAAGTCTGCAGGGTTAAATGTTCTATTTCTAGCCTGCAGTCGTGCAGTTCATCACATTCACCTCTCCAGATATTATCAAGCCCCAGATGCACCAAAATCAACTTTGATTACTCTTGAGAAAAATGGAAAGAGTGAGGGGGAACGTTCCTGTTCTCCACCACGGAGCCAAGAAATAATCAGGGAACTCGGTCACCAGCACAGGGAGCAGTGAGGGATGCTGAGGGATGCAGGGCTGGATGCAGCCAGGCCAGAGGAGGCTCCAGGATGGGCAGAGGATGGAGCAGCTCTGCCGGCAGGAAAGGCTGGCACAGCTGCCATGGCTCAGCTGGGCAGGAGAAGCTTTGGGCTGAGCTCAGGGTGGCCTTGCAGGGCCCCAAGGGGCTGCAGGAAAGATGGACACAGACAATTGCCAAGGCCTGCAGGGACAGCACACAGGGAATGGCTCCCAGTGCCAGAGGGCAGGGCTGGCTGGGAGCTTGGGAATGGGGAATTGTTCCCTGGCAGGGTGGGCAGGGCTGGCACAGGGTGCCCAGAGCAGCTGTGGCTGCCCCTGGATCCCTGGCACTGCCCAAGGCCAGGCTGGACACTGGGGCTGGAGCAGCCTGGGACAGTGGGAGCTGTCCCGGCCATGGCTGGGGTGGGATGGATGGGATTTATGGCTCCTTCCAACCCAAACCACTCCGGGATTCTGCAAAATTCTCTGGAGAAAGGGAGAAAATTGTGAGCTTCCAGCACAGCCAGCACTGCCCATTTTTGGCTGTGATCTGGATTCCTCTCCAGTCTGAGCTCTTACTGTCAAATGGGAAGAATGGTAGCAAAGACCTGACCTGGATTTTACACTCATAACTGCCTGGCTGGGTAGGACATAAGGACATTCAGAGTGGCTACAAGAAGGCATCAGGGCATTCCTGAGTCTGGCAGCACTTGGCTGCCACACAGATGCTGTGAGCAGGCCGTGCCCCATCTCCATCAGTGTCCCTCATCACTAAAACCAGACCCAGGAAAATGAGATCAGATGCAAGAACTCATCTCAGCTCTAAGACTCCCCACGCTACTGCTATGTGTCTGCAGCTCCACAGTAAAACTGTGCTCCCCAAGTGCAAGACAACTGCTGGTGCAGAATTAAAACTTGTCAGTGAACCTATAAAGCTTTCTCACAGCCTGAGTCGAGACTAAGAGCTTGAGTTATGCAAGGACATCACACAGCTAGGCTTTCCCAGGGGTGCAGCTGATGAAATGCACCAAGGGATGATCTGAGGAGAAGCCAGCACTCTGCACTGCCCATGGAGGGGCAGGGGAGGCAGGACAAGCTGTGCATAATGGACATCAGTCACACCACGTGGGGAACTTGGCACTGATCAGGCACTGTGGTTTCAGCAGCCAACAAATCTCCAGGCAGCAGGTCTCAGAATCTCAGAATTGGGTTTCAGACTGGGTTTTCATTCTGTTCATAGGGACACACACAACATGCAGACAGGACTGTCACTTATGTTTTAAATCAGGTATTAGAGAAGATACAGGACATCAGTATTTATTATATGCAAAAAGCTGATCAGGTTTTGCAGAAAAAACCTCAACCATACACAAGTCACAATGCAGTCAAAATGTATAAAATGCCATTATTGGGAATAAAGGATTGGATGTAACGAAGTGAACGTGACTATATAAGAACAAAATTCATAACATTCTGGTCTCCAAAGTGTAACTCAGAACTGCTACTAAAACTTTGTCAGGGCTCAACACAACAGAATTTACAGATGCTCAAACCCAGAATGAGTTCAGAAGTCCATCTGTTAGGATCCTCGAGTTTTCTGCACGTGCCTGGTGTCTGTCCAGGCTCCCTCCAGCCAGTGTGGGACTGATGGCTGCTCTGCCAGGGCTCTGGTTTTCAGAATCTGCTGCAATACCAGACCAGAGAACCCCTCAGTCCCCACAGCTGATGCAGCCATAAGCCAACATCTCACTGGAATCCACGGCTGAAGCTAACAGTTCTGAAACAACCCACAAATGTTTGAGGAGAACAGGGGGAATGGAAAAATAAGCTGTTTATTTTCAGGGCATTAAAAAAAAAAAGATTTTCCTCGAGTTAGATATTTGACAACATTTCAGCTGAAAGCATGACAGGAGATGTATTTTCCTGCTGATTCAAACACATCAGTTGAAAAGTGGAGATGCTTTAATAAACTGGTTCCCACCCACCTCTCTCAAGAAAAAGAGAACTCAAAGAACTGCAGAAGCAAAAGTGATTCTGCCATGATCACTTGGTTTTGTAATATTCAGTATTTAGAAAGCCAGCATAAGAATGGGACTAAAGAGGGAAAAGTGCATGATGATTCCTGAATGACACGCTGAATTTTTTTGGAAGTGCCATCTGTCGCTTGTTTGGAGTTGACAAATAATTTTGAAAACATTCTCTGATGTATTACAAAATATCTGTAGCATTGTTCAGGATGGAACAGCACTTTAAAATGTTCCCCAAGAAATACACACAAATTTGAATGCTGTTTTTACAGCAATGTCCCACTTTGGCAGCTGTTTCATACCTTTCCTACATTTACTGCATAAAGAGGCAGAGAGAAGTTTTGAGGATATCTTTTATATTCATTAAGAACAGCTATTTAATATTTATAAAAGTATATGGAGAGATAAATATTTAACGAAAAGCTTCAAACAGGCATGTAATTTAAAAGACAGATTTTAGTTTATCAGGGAAAAAGGCTGTATGACACTAATATTTCCATAAAGAAAGGAAACTGCAAAGTAGAGAAACACATTAAAAAAAAAAAAGCTATCTTAGAATTAATCTAAAAAACTGAACCTCTAATATGTACTTTTCATATTAAAAGATTTTAAAAAATAGATAGTTTGTCAAAATGCAGACTCCCTAAGATGACACTGTTAAAAACCCTGTAATTATACATTTGTTTTTTGAAAACAACCATTTGATTGAGACATTTTCCTAATTTTGAGATTACCTTTCTTTTCTCTACGCCTTGAGACTGAACAGGGCTGTAAGGAGAGCATCTGGCAGCGAGGAATCAGCAGAGGGACAGAACAGATGTGGTGACATCTAGCAACACCTCTCTGAAGTGCAGCCCAGCAGGCTGCTCGGTTCAAATCCCCATTTCCACCCACTGCCCAAGGAACTCACCCCAGCCCCTGCCCAGAATGCTTCTGAAGCTCAGCCAGTTTCTGGGTACTCACGGAAAGGCTGGTGGTGTTTGGAACATACTGATCCTGCTCCCCCAGCAGAACATCAATCACAGGGTGCCTCCCATTTTTTATGATTATTTCGCGACGATTGTCTCGCACAGTTGGTCTGCAAAAGAGGAAAGGTATCAGAGGGAAGGTATCAATCTCAGTGTTCTTTATAACTGAATATGTAAAACTACTGTAAGTGAAGCCTGCAGGACTGTCACCTGTGACGTAAGGTTTTGTGGAAAAAAAATACTAATTATTAACAATTAATTACTGCCATCAAGTATTTCTAAGGAAAATATTTTCTAAAGAATACTTTCTTTGAGGAAAATAAAGCCACAGAATTTTAAGAGTGGAAATCAACTATCACTTTGGGTCAACTTCAAAGGGAAGATGTGGAGAGTGAGATTTTGCTTGGGCTGAAGAATGATAATGCGATTTAAAAGGAAAATGGAAATAAAATAAATGACATCTTACAAACTCAAAGCACTGGGGAAAGAGGCATAAACTGATAATGGTGGGGGGTTTAGCACAAAGGTAACTCCAACAGTTGCACAGCTCAGATTACAGCAGTCTATGGACGGTGTTAGGCCTCATACCACCTCTTCAACAGCATCCTCTACAATGAAATCCACTGAGAATCTGCAGAGTGACACTCAAACAGCAGACGGTGACCCCCGGAGTGCCCCCAGCAGCACCTGCAGCTCCACCTGGCTGCCCCAGAGCCCTGCTGGGCTGTGTGTGCCGAGCAGCAGCCCCCAGCACGCTGCACCCGGGGCTCACCCCTGCCCAGCACCTCTGCCCTGACCCTGCTCATCCACCTGCCTCGGGCAGGGCCGCAGGAAACAACCCTCACAAACCAGAACATTCCTCCAAAACAACACCAAAGTCCGGTCTTTCCCTCAGCAGCCCTCCAGGATTAATTATTGACACCTTCCCTGCAGCTGAGGTTGCACTGAGAAGTCTGCTTCCTACTAGTTTATAAGCTCTGAGCCACTCTGAAATTCAGTGAATTATTTACATTCTGCACAGTGAATTAATCAGACTTCAGTTTGTTTTCCCATCTGAGTACACCGAAATAAGTGAGCAATTATTTTCAAGGAGATTTTGATAGAGAGACACACAAGATCCCAAGAGCCCAGAAGTGATCAATATTATCTTTTAATGATGTATCAAAGCAGAAGTATTTGCAAGTGGATTTCTCTTCATCCCCTGCCCGTGTGTGGGTCTGGGGCAGAAGCAGCAGCTCAGCTCATCAGCTCTTACCCGTGAGCCCATCTGAGGCACCACCAGGGCTGGAGCTAATATTTACTATTAATTACCTGGGGCACACCTTTCAAACACACCTCAGACACCCCAGACTCTAAGGTGTTAGAAAGATATCATAAACTCAGACTTGTCTGAGAATAAAAAATAGTAATTTTTAAAAGAAAGACATAAAAAAGGTCCAGCATTTATCTAAGTGTAAGTAAGATATAATCTACTAGACTCAGGTCAAACAACAAACATTAGGATGTCAAATTGGAACTGCAATGTTTACAGATCTGCATTAAGGCCAGAAGTGTTGCTCTGCAAAATCAGATTAAGTTGAAACTACTGTAAACAATTGTAATAGTGATTTTTATCACGGCACACATATTAAAACATAATTTATTTTAAGTCCGCTCTTATAATTCCGTATACAATCCGACGTAAAAATTAAAAATTAAAAATTGATTACCTGCAGTAGTCTCCTTGCTTGGCCACCTGGGCCAATGAGAACAGGCAGTCCACAGTTGCTAGGTGACAAATGGCTTTAGACACGGGGTGATAATGTTCACTGAAACGGCTGCATCAAAACAGGGAAAAGTTACACAAAAGCAGCAAAAGAAATAATTCTGCACAAATACAAAGGAATTGTCAAAATGCACCCCATGCAAGCTCCTCACAGGGCTCCTGTGCTCTTTAAATCACCCTGAACCCAAATCTCCCAGCAGTGTACCAGACAGAACATGAGGAGCTCAATCAAGGTGGACTTCACCTCCCAGTCTAACAGTGAATTATTTTTAAAGCACAGAAAATCAGGCAAAATTAAATTCATTAGATAGCTCATAAAGGGTCAGCAGTTGATGCCTGTTGCCTGAATGAGGTGTACAAAAATGCCACAGTTTATCAGAATTTATACAGAATACCAGCAGCTGAATCCAGCTGTTGGTTCAGCCTCAACTCTAAGTTACAGTCAAAGAAGAACCAAAGTAAGATTGTCTGAACACAGGAGTTGTCTAAAATTTCAATGAATTATGTATCTACAACAGAAAATTCAAGAATTCATTTTCAATTAATGGTGCTGCTTTCCCGGTACAATAAGGACATTATCAGGAGAACAGAGTTTTCAGTGGAGTTCATTCTCTTACTCCTCTGGAATTTCTTTTTTCCTCTCTCCTAGTCTCAAAGCTACAATATAGAATATAAAACCAGCAGGGGAGCAAAATTTAATAAACCAAGACATAAATGAATGGAGGGCTGGGAAAGAAGAGCACTTTCCCACACACAGGTCTTTCCTTTTTGTCTGCTGCTCTCCTGAGAACAGACAAGTGAACATGGAGACAACTCTTTTATAGTACTGCTAAGGAAACACGACTGGAGAAGTGTCAATTGGAATGTCTTTCCAGTTTCTACCCAATTTTCAGAATTTCTGGGTTCCTAATGGGAGGCAAATCCAGTGAGACAACTTGAGCAGGGACTTGTTAAGGTCTTGCAAACTATCACTGTGTGATAAGAGGACCAATTTCAGCAGTTCTGCAATTCATACAATAACAGATAATCAGGCAGCTGAAAAATTAAAGTTGTTCAGAAGCTCAGGAAGTATTTTTTAAACTCCCACTTTGAGGATCCTTTGGCTAAACAGGCAAATAACCCCACTAAAAACTCTGATCTCAGACAAACACATGGGCCAGATGTGAGGGACAACAAAACTCCCACACTTTCTAACAAAATCTCATGGTCAGGGTGGAATACAAAATATAAAAAATAATAAAACTGCTGCATAATATTAATAAGTAATATAATAAAACCAATGAAATCCACTAGGTTCAGTTTCACTCAGAGTCAGCTGTACTTTCAGATCGTTAATGCTGTGATATCATTTTTCGGAGTTTGGGAAACACCTTGTATATTTAACAGTGTGTTTTCACCAGAATTTTAAAAGGTAGAGACATCACTGCTGGTCTCAGGACTGGGGCTCAGAGGTCTTGCCCTCAAATGGTTTGAAAGGAAGAACAGCATTTCAACTGACCACCAGCCAAGCTGCTGTGGGCAATTATTAACGCCTTTATTTAGGAAACAAGCGCTTTCCTGCCGCGCTGCTGCTGCTGCTGTCTCGCAGAGCAGGGCACAGGGGTGGAAGCACTCACTCCAAGAAGCACAGCCACTCAGCACTGCAGAGGAGGGCGAGCTGCTCACGGAGCTGCTGCAGGGCTCGGTAGCTCTCTGTGACCAGCGGCGAGTGGAAGCGGCTGACGGCTTTGGTGCTGCACGGCGAGAGAGAGAGACAGAGAGGGCTGCCTGGCATCAAGGTTACCAAGCAGGCAGCTGCACCATCCACACCCAAAACCGGACTCACTCTCCTCATCTCCTGCAGCCCCCACAAGGGGTGTGCTGAAGGGAAGCTCTGCTGTTGGTGGCAGTGACCTCCGGGACGCCCTGCACCACCCAGAGCACACAGCCCACCACACTGCCCAGCAGAGGCTGGCACTCAGCCACACACACCAACAGATTCACTGCCAAGAGGAGAACAACATCATGAGCCCGAAATAAACCTGGTTTATACAGATTGTCTTGATGGTTTTCACTGGAGATACTTGCTGTTTATTAATGTGTTTTCGTAAGGACTCAATTTGGCACATCCAGGCATCCTTTTACAGAATCCAGATTAGCTGTAATTTGTTCACCGTGTTGATTCTGTCTGATCTGTGCACTTCTCAGTATTAAAAGAAGTTTAATTAAAAGAGAATTGAGTGTTAATTCTTGCATAACTGAATAGAGCATCACAACAGAGTTCAACTTAGGGAGAGATGCTCACACATTACACTGTGGGGCTTGTAGAGAATTCAGCATTTACGTGGACATTGTAACTTTCAGGTATTCAAACCATTCAAATCATAAATCAAATGACTGAAAAGAAAAAAAGCCAACTACATAAATCAGTACATCTCTGTTTCACCTGCTGGAAAATTATCCAAAATCAAGCTTATGTTAGACCAAGTACCAAAGCAAGAAGAACTGGTCTGTATGAGCAAATAAAATGGTATTTTAAATGCACTGAATTTACCAAGATGCATAAGCAGATGTTTGCCCAGCTACTTTAATCTTTCTGAATAAAACAACAGCAATCAAAACTGGATGAAGGATTTGCATGTGCAAACTACAAGCACAACTGAATCAAGGCCATAGATCTGACACCAGTACAGGCACCTTGAAGAATTGAGTGAGTAATTCTGCTTTGAGGATGCACTGTGTAAAAACAGATGTTGTAACAAATCAATTCTTCTCAGCTTTGTTTGTTTTTTTTTTTTTTTTTTAAGCAAGAGATTTACAGTTTGGTTGCATTTTCAGCTTAAAAAGCCCCCAATAAACCTTACCATGGGAAAATGAGAATGTGTATGTAAGGAATTGTAATACCAAAACACCTCGTTTTTTCCTCTAAATTAAAACAGAACCAAACTTCAAAGACATTTTACATACCTGCTAACCATAACCCAGTCAGATGGCACAGATGATTTATGGGAATTCTTGACTTCTATCAAAAACTGAAATAACAGAAACGTCATGTTACACACCATGGGAAGACCAGAGAACCAGAATCATCGTTTACCCAGAAACTGCAAGCACCAGAGGAAAACCGTGCTCAGCCTGCAGAGAAGGAGCAGCCCAGAAGGGAATGCTCGTTTTTCCCCAGAAGAAGCTGGGGTTATGACACACATGACCCTCCTGCACCTGCAGAACTTTGCTGCAGGTTTGAGCGAGCTCGGGGTCACACGGGGAGAAGCAGCAGCAGTGTCAGGGCGCACTGAGATCTGCGTGACGTGCTTGTTTCACTTGATTCATGTCAGTTATCTCTGCAACAATAGCCTGAGGCCCTGGGTGTCAGAGAGTGGAGGCAGTCTCACGTCACAGAATTCAGCTGGAAAACAGATTTCCTGCAGAGATTAGGTTAACACAGAGCCTGACCACATTTACGGAAAGCCACAAGACCCACATCTGGCAAAACTTCTCCACTGTAGCTAATGGGATTTAGATAGAAACTTCCAGAGGAGCCAGCAGTCATCCCCAAGAACAAGCAAGGATAACAATCCTAACACAGGAATAGAGCAAGGACAGGGTGCACTAATTCTTCCTTCACCCACAGCACTTCCAAGGTATTTCTCTGTTGTGAAGGAGCATTTGAATTTCACATCTATCAGGGTGCTACAAGAACAGAGGAAGAATAAAACATACAGATCTGAGGAAGAAAGAGCTCAAATCCAATAAATTCCTTTTCTAGTCCTGCGTTCTATTCCTCCAATACAACTTTGTTTCCATTACTCCCATTCCTCTGGCATCTTCCTTTTCCTCACTGACCATATTCTCTGACCCCTCTCTGCTGCCTCTTTTGGTGTCTGCTGAACACTCACACCAGATGTCATCAAGTAAGAGCTACTCCCAGCCTCTGCAGCTCCTTTCATCAAGGCATATCTCTGTCTGCAGAGGTTTCTGCCCTGCTGCAAAGGCCTCCTCTCTCAAACGTGAGCAGGGACTGCTGCCTCTGGAACCACTTTTCAGGACCTCCTCAGATGCTCTCCTCCCTTTGATCAGTTCCTCTCTTTTCCTTCACTTCACAAAGATGGCAGCTATTAACCCAGCCTCCCTGAGAGAGACCTTTCAGATCCTGCTCTCCCCTGCCTCAGACAATATTCAAACACACTTTTCCACTTTTCCTTTGGATTTCAGCCTCTGTGCTGACAGCCCACCCAACTCCTGGGCTGTGTATTTCCTGCTCTCAGCTTCACTCTCAACAGGAACACCCAACTTCAGCTCTTTATCAAAGGCTGCCCCCTCTAATTCATCCCTTCCTCATTTTCAGCAGTGTCTGTTTGCTCCCTCCTGTGTCTTTTGGATCTTTCTCAGCTTCCAAAGTGCCCCACAGGCCAATTCCAGCCCCTTCCCTCCCTGTCCTCACCCACTCCTCTCCTCTGCTCACAACTCTCACTCTGTTTCCTAACTCCTTTCTTTCCCCACTTTTCTGTTTCAGAGTTTTTCCCAGCTTCCTCCTGTCAGTTCCGGAGGACAACGCTGAGCAGTGCCACCTGACTGCTCCTTTCAGTTTCCCCACAAACGTGGCAGGGTCTGCTGTCTCTGTTTTTCACCACAGAGCCTCTCAGCTCGCTGGATCACATCCTGCCCACACTTGTGCAGCATCCACGAGCAAAAGTTCCAGTCCAGAACACCATTTCCGAGAATTGGAACTAAAACAACACTTATCACTCTTTAATACTGTTCCCTCTTCTCTCCCATCTTTCAAATTACAGTCTGACTCAGTACTCAGAAATCCTTTCACCATTCTTCAAATTAACCAAATGCTGTGCTTCCTGGTTCTCTGAGAGTATTCCAGTACTTAATAGCCATACAATTAACCTTGGAAGTATGTGTTTTTACACAGACAGAAAAGCAAAGCATTACTGAACCAAATTCAACTGCACTAATGTGCTCCTATTATTTCAGTCACTGAAGTGATTGACTTAACAAATAAAGGAGTCACACGGCAAGAAAGCTGCTCTTCAAAGTTGTACAAAAGATTATAGTCAAATGCCCTCATGAAGCACCACACTCAGTGAATAGAGCTCCAGCTAGGTCCCGCTTTTAAGCTATTTTCTAGGCAAGGATGGGTACAGTCATACATAATAAACCCCACAGTACCTCTTGACCCGAAACTGCAACATACTCTGCAGAAGGGTTCTTAATCTGTTTACGAATATCCGGCAGATGCAAGTGGATTTTGGAAAGCACATCCTGGATCTCCTCCTTTTTCTTTCGGATGGCAGGGAAGTCTGTCAGGTCCTTGAACAACTGGGTTTTATCTCCAGTCCTATCCGTAAGAAATGCAAGGTAAAACAAAGGCAAAAAGAGAGAGACAGAGCTCAGTTCTACCAGCTGCATCCTTGCTTTGTTATTTTTATTTGTTGGAACACGACTCCCCTCTGAGTACAGATTTTGAGGTGCTGGGTCATGGCACAGCCCACGTGCTCACGACAGGAGCAGAAAGGCACTTTGTATACAGAGCACCCCAAGTGCTGACAACACCTGCACCGCAGTTACAGGCGAAGCCTCAGGTGATTTCTGCATGCCGTGAACACAGATTTTCAACACATTTAGAATCTGGCCAAATTCGGGCACTTTTTTGTAAGGATTGCATGGAAAAATCCCCCCCTCAAGGCCCTCATCGAAGCAGAATGCCATCAGTGCTTTCCCAGAGCAGCTTCCTTCTTTTGTCCAGAAAAGATTACCCAGAATACTTGTAAGCACATGCAAAACAATGCCCTTTTCTAATTTCAGTGCCAGAAAAAATGACAGAACTCTTTTGGCAGCAGTAGCTCAGGCCAGGATTCAAACCTGAAACAAGCAATGCCATTCAAATGGTTAAAACTGAACTAGCAATTAAAAATACAGCTGTCAACAAAAATAACAAAAAATTTAACTTACCCTAATAAGTATCAGGCAAACAATAAAAAAGCACTTTGATCAGCCCTAAGTTAATTGCAATATAACTTTGCATTTTAGAGCCAATACAGAACTCTGCAAGTTAATTATATAATTACCTTGAAAACTAATATGTGGAGAGCAAGTAATTAGCCAGCTGAAAGTATTACAACATGGAAGTAATAACGAAATCTAATATTCTACTTACGCCACTGCCCCTTGGCCTGCAAATGGAGCTGCAGCTGGAGCCAGTGGCAAGGCAGGTAGCACAGGGCTGAGCTTTGGCTGTGCTCTCCTTCCTCGTTGGGATTACATAAGTGACAGTGAAGATGCCATTTTAAAGTACAATACTAATTTTTAGAAACGATTTCGTGCTAATTGGACTGGTTTCCATGGGAATGCAAGGCAAAAAAAAAAAAAGATCCCTAGTAGCCAGCAGCTGATGTTGAAGACTGTCACTGCTATGTGATGCCTACAAAAAATTGTAACGTTGACAGTGCCAAAAAACACAAATCCCAAAATCTCAATCACCCTGCTAAAAAAAACCAAAACCTGGAGAAAGGGATGCTTTTCAGAACAATTACAGGATTTTATCCATACCTCATAACAAAAATAACACGGGATGCAGTCTGTGCACAAGTGTGTGTGTGCATGGAAGGATGTGGGCAGAAGCCAAGATTTTGATGAAAGAAATGTTTCTGAGTAAAAATAATACCACCATTACATTTACATTTGAGATATATAAAGGCTAGAAAGTAAGTTGGCTTAATCATTCTGAATAAATGTAAATACAATATACCCATTCTACAGATCATTTATATCTTGTATACTATTCCAGCCATTGTTAGTACAGTGACAGAAGAAAACATCCCATGTTTTGAAACTACCTACACGAAATCTGGTATAATTTAGATTGGTACAATTTAGATACAGTCTGTTTTGGCACAAACTGTCACAACTATAATTGGGCACCAGGCATCAGCAGAAATCTCATAATCCCACCTTGCCAATGGGCAGAGGAAATCCTTCTGCCCCTCTCAACTTCTAAATTTATACACCTCAGGTCCACCTCTACATCAGAAGCAAATAAATTAAAGTTCTAGGCTTAGATTAATTTTTCAATCTGAGTTTGGAAAAGATAAAAAATGTTTTATAAATGAAGTGGATTTTTGGTTTTTTTAGTCTGTTCTGAATGTAAAAGTTAAGACTAGGCTGCCCCCATATAAAAACAACACACTAAACTTTCTGCCACAACCTCAGCAAAGAATCCAGGGATAACAGTGGGGAGCAGTGCTTCAGAACAAACAGTACACAGCAAATTATTAAGAGATATTCTGCAATATAATGTGTATTAATTCCAACCTAGCATCTTCTTCCTCTGTCTTTTTTTCTTCACTGACCAACAGTGGACACAATTAAGACAAAAAAGGGCAGACAGCTTTGATGAATTCTCACAAAAATAGTGGAAGGCATACTGCTGACAGCAGAGCTGTCCCTCTGCTGAAGGTCAAGGCTCTCTTCAAAAGGAATAGCTTCTCTTAAAAAAAAATTAATTAGAAAGATGTTGAGCCAATTAACGTAATGAGAAACATATTTTCCTGTAAATTCATCACCCAAAACAGGTGAGAAACTTTAAAAAAATCATTCAGCTTAAGGTAGACATTCACTAGGCAAAATACTGCCTCTCCTAGTTTAACTTTTAAAAAGGAATGTAAGCCATAGGTAACAACAATCTCTGCTTTAAATAACAGGAACTGTGCCCACATAAATATGAAATAAAATTACAAAACTGAGGTGCATTAAATCAAGAGGCACAATTTGCATAACTGACCACATTAGCTCAGAAGGGCTATGAGGCACAGAAGAATCATGTACTTTCTCTACTTACTTGGCTGCTTCTTCATTAAGGATCTTTAAATACAGTTTTACTGGAGAGAGGAGGTCTGGGATTTCCAGCAGTGCATTTTTTAACAGAGGAGATCTCACATGGGATTGTATGACTGGGACAAAAGCTTGAATTTCCACGTCCAGACGAGACAGGGTGCTGACTATCAAGAAGAACTCCTGGGTAGAGCACTGAGAAAGGAAGGAACATCTGAATCACTACAATCCATTACATTTTCACTAACAGGTTCCTCTGCTGTTCCAAAATGTGACAGCATGCAAATGAAATGCACGGACAGTAACACAGCTGCACCATCCTGCCCCACTAAATTAGGGGGGTTAATTAACCACACCAGTTGTCCCCACACTTGTCCTCAGGATTTTGTCAAGAGCTGATCTCCAGTGCTCCTGTTGCTGGGGGCAGATGTGCACACAAAAGCAGGAAAAGGGGCAACAAGGTGCAAGCAGCAAAAGAAGCAGGTTGGGTGATGTCAGGAGCAGCACACCTTGTCCACCCCAGGGCAGGGCTGGAAAGGCAAGGCCAGGCACTCACGGGGAGAGACTGGGAACACAGGCAGGAGAAGAAAAAACACAGAGAAAGGGAAAACTGCTGAAAGTGCTTGCAGCTATGGACAGCTTGGGCTCTGCCAGCCCTGCCTGGGGGCACAGGAGACACAGCAGCCCGCTCCTCATCCTCTCCTCAGCACAAGGGAAGGCAGCCAGCCAGGGCATCCTCTGCCTGCAGCTTCTCCAGAGGGAACACGCCAGGGCCAAGCACACACAGCCTGCCCGAGCCTGCTTTGGGGCTCTCCAGGGCAGGAGCAGGCTGCCTCCTTGCAGCAGCTCCAGAAGAGACCCTCCTGTGCCCCCTGAAGCACCCGTGCTCTGCCCGGGGCTGCTGGATGCTCCCCGGTGCCCGCACAGCCTGTCACCTTCAGCTCCTGCTCAGGAAGGGCTTTTTGGGCACGGCCCAGCCCTCCTGCACACTGCCAGTGTCCCCAGGCACGCAGGCTCTGCGATGCTCCCTGCAGCACTGCGTGCGCATGTCTGCTGCACCTCAGCTGCACTGCACGGTGTGAAAAACGCCAACCGCTCGGTTTTTTACATTTTAAATATTTAATAGAATATAATCAGAAAATAATCAGAATAATAAAGTTTGAACAGTTGAGGTTAGGACAATATGAGACAATAAAAACAAAGAGTTACAGACGTCTGGGTGCATATTTCTGGGCATCACGACCCTGAAAAAGAACCCCCATTAACAGAGATTAACCCTTAAAAACGACAGCCTGTTGCATATTCATACACCTCACACATGATGCATAAATTCCATTCCAACACAGGATTCTGTCTGGTCACTGTCAGCTTCTTCCTCTGAATCCTCATGCTATCTTCCTGTCTGAGGTGGGAAGAAGTTCATTTTCTGCTGATAAGGGAGCAATAAATTCCCTTTCTCTGAAAGATTTAGGTGTCCTGTGGCTGCTGTCTGGTGCGAGTCCTTTCTTAAACAAATATCTTACATAGCATAGTTTCTATTTTAACATTCTGTTATAACCTAAACCAGTATTGAATAGTTAATTTAATACTTAAGGAAATTAATACAGCATAACTTTCTAACACAACGCATACAATATTCATTTCAATCCTTGCCAAAAGCCAATCACAAAATACACATTTTTCACAACGGGCACACCAGGGCTCGCAAACCCCGCTCAATTCACTCACGCTCCCAGGACATTCCAGCCTCACACAGCTGGAAAAAGGGTGACCATAAATAATTAGGCCGGTATTTTTTCGTATTTTACTAATCTGTGGGAACATTCCTCCTTCAGCCTTCTGAAATTCTCCCATCAGTCAACAAACAACGCTGAAAGAAAACCAGTTTATTTTCCTCACCTGAGGGTGCAAGGAAGGCAGGAGGATATATAATATTCTTTGTCTGCTACATCCTTCTGTTCCAACTTTTTTTTTCTCTTCTACCACAGCAATCTACAATTTAATTTCTGGGCAGGACTGTATAGTGACCAGCACAACACTGCTCACAGAAGAGGCAGTGAATCACTATTTCATAGAACACATCTACATTTTTATTTTGTCATTTGTTGTCTTTTAATTTCTCCCCAGAAGGAATTTTTTCTTTTTTCCTTCTCACACTCAAATGCAAGAATTAAGGCAATTCTCTCATTTATTACACTGCAGTTATTCCCAAGGAACGTCTGTACCCAAATGCAGAATTAAGTATTAGCAAAAATGCAATTTAACCACAGTTAGGAATTCAGGAGGGCCACAGACACTGCGCCCTGAATGTTCCTGCAAAACCTAAGCTCATCTATTTTACAGAACCACAGAGTTCTGTGGGACAGAACCTATCAGCAGGTTTCCCTGCAAATACTCCAGTTTTTCTGTGTTATTTTCTTTTTCTATACATTCCAAGATACTGTGTGCTTACCACTAACCCATAATGCAGCAATGATCACAATGTAAAAGTGTTACCAGACAGCACAATTTTCCTTTCCATTGAATTAATCCAAATATCTCCAGTTTTATTCATTTGTATTACACTAACTGCACTGTTTCTTTACTGTTAACACCCTTCAAGTACCTCTAGGCCTTCTGTTCTCCTTTAATCATCAATTTAACCAAAAAAAAAAAAAAAAAAAAAAAGGGCCTTTTAGTCTTGCTTCAGAAACAATCCATTATTCTGCCTCATGAAAATTTTGGGTTTCCTCTGCACTGGCTGCAATTTATCATCATCTTTCTGATAATCTGGAACTTACTGCTTCTATCTTGCAACAAATATTAAACAAAACAATAAAGGAATAAATATGCCAACAGTGTCTGAAGTCAGAGCACAGAGGAAAGGCCAGGAACTGTAAACAAATGACAAATCCCAGCCTGGACTCCAAGTCAAATAAACCACTTTCTGACTGAGTGCAGCACCACCACAGCCCTGAGGATGAGGATGAGGATGAGGGATGCAATCCTGCCAGGAGTGCCCAGGAGACAGCAGGGTGACCCACAGCACAGGAGAATGAGCAAACGTGCACCCCAGAAATGCACCAGCTCCTCGGGGACTTCATCAGCGTGGGGGCTTCAGTTGTTCTTTTTCTACAGAAGGGAAAACAGGGAAAACACCTGCAGGAGGGTGGGAAAGGGAGGTGCTGGTGGGGGCAGGTGGGAACACCTGGCTGAGGTGTTTGCAAGGCTGGAGAGGCGGCACTAGGAGGGGAAAGCTGCATTTCAGGGCACCTAAAACAAGCCCTGCCGTTATCAGGACTGTCAGGAGATGGCTAATAAACATTCTTAAGTTCCTCACAGAGACTCTGATGGCCCACAGGACATGGTAAGAGTCACCCAAAGAGTGAAAACCCGCTTGGTTCTGTGGCCGCAGACCTAAGAGAAAGGAAATTCACCCTGTTTTACTGCAACCAGCCTTGCTGAACAGTGTCCCCAAGAATGGGGTGGACACAGCTCTTCTGTGCTTATTCCCTGATCCTGCTCCCCCCTGCTCCATGCCAGTAACGCTGCAGGACTTCTTGCATGTAAAATTTAATTCCTCCCCTGCAGAAATGTCTCCCCTCCACTGAGCAAACACATAACTTGGAACAGACTCATCCAAATAACTCTGAAAATCTGGGCTCCATTACAGTGGGACCGACTCCATTCAAATCCTAGGTAACCTCACAAAGATACAGACTGTGTTATAAATTAGAAGCTTTTAAAATACAGTGAAAATTGTTTACATAAAGCAGGATTACCAGTCTTGCATTCACAGAAGATTCCCACAAGCTGATCCAATGCTATTTTTGAAGCCTGCTTCTGAGAGGACAGCAATGACAGCCATAACTTCTCTGGCACTGGAGAAATAACCTCAGAGCTGACAGTGATGCCAAACAACAGTTTCAACCATCAGTTTATCAAACTGTTCTGAAAATGGATGCAGGAAAGATCACAGAGCTCTGACACCCTCTCAGCAACACTGACAGCAATTCAGCCCAGTTTGCATTACTGGAATTGTTTCCAACAGAGACCCACAGCCAGCAGCCACTAACCACTTTCATCTCCAAGCTGAAAGTCTTTCAAATTTAAACAAATACGGCTGTCTAAATGCAATATACATTTATCACTCATTTCAAATTGTAATTCCTACCTTTATCTCTTTAGCATAGGGAGCAGACTTTGGTTTGGGAGAAATGAGGTATTTAAGATTATTAGGTCCTCTTGTTACGACTTTGTATTAATCAGCTTAACAGGGAGCAGTTTGCTTGAATCACCATTTAGCACTGCAAACCTAAAAATATCTGTGATGCAGATTCTTTAAAAGATTAAAAGTGTAGCATAAGCAAGATGTGCATGATGTTACCATAGCAGGAAAAAAAAAAAAAAAGTAAAAATTCAAGGTATATGTAAGCCAAAGTCAAAGGATTATGGTATGGGGAAAGTGTATCTAAAATGTATTTACTAATACTATACAAATAGTAACTATTTTCTTCACTGAAATTTTAACACTTGGCACCCAGCTGAGCTGCACCCTCGTGCTCTGAGGAGGTGTCCCAGAAACAGTGAAATACTCACTGAAAAGAGAATTTATTGCTCCCTTATCAGAAGAAACTAACTTCTTCCCAGCTTGCTCAGCCCTGATGCTGTCAGGATTCAGAGGAAGAAGCTGACACTGACCAGACAGAATCCTGTGTTTGAATGGAATTTGTGAATCATGGATGAGGTGTATGAATATGAAATGGGCTATTGCTTTTAAGGGTTAATCCTCTGTTAATGGATGTTCTTTTTTGGGCTTATTTTGCCCAGAAAGAGGTACCTGGACTGTCCGTAACTCTTTGTTTTTATTGTCTTGTATTGTTCTAAATTCTATTTGTTCAAATTTTTATTACTCTAATTATATTACTATTGTTATAACCATTTTATTACCATTAAACTTTTAAAATTTTAAAACCAAGTGACTGGCATTTTTCACAGAGGGGAAACACATTTAGACCATGCTGCTCGATTTTTAAACTCAGCTCACTTTGGAATTAAATTAAGCTACGCAGGAAACTCGTGCAGGGATAGCCAGAGCTGTGACACTGCAGAAAATCAAACAAACCCCCAAAGAGTGACAAGGCAAGTCCCCCGGGAGGCTGTGGGCACACAGGCAGCACCTGCCTGCTCCACTGTGCTCAGGTGAGCAGCCAGGCACGGGCAGCACTCCTTCAGAGCCTGAGCCACACCTGGACAGGTTTTCCTGTTTTCCCACCTGCTCCCAAGGAACTGAGAATGAGAGAGAGCCCGGGGCAGGACAAACTGAAAGGATGCTGCACTACACGTGGTGGTAAGGCTTGGTTATTGCTCTCCCTCCTTAGGTAAACAGCTCCCCTTTAATCTGTTTTGTACATCTCATGGCCAATTGTTATGATAATTCCGTCGGTGACTGTGCTTTAGTCAAAAGTAATGTTTATTGAGCAAAGGGTACAAATAAGATAAACACTTGTGGGTTGAGCCTGTGTAAATATTTATCTTCTGAAACACACTGGAAACACAGGCATGAAAACAGCAAGGAACATCAGGCTGGCCCTGTAGGACACATTTCTGAAAGTGCAAATGGCTTGTTTACTCTGTACTGGTTGTAAAACCTGCTCAAACATCGGTCACTGACCCTCTTTTGCCAAGCTCCAAGGCAAGGCTGAGCAGTCTCCACTTGAACTGAGGCAAAAAAAGGAGGGTCCTGCCATTTTTATTTCCCACTGATGCCAGAAGGAAATGCCTGTGGTGCAAACTGTGCCGGCTGATTTGGTGATCCTCCTCCGAGCACCACCTCTGCCACCACGGTGATTCTGACAAGCTCCAGGCACTACTGAGACAAAACTCAACAAAATTCCCTGTCTCTCAGATTCCCTTGCAGCCAGCTTCTGAGTGCTGCCCAGAAGTGTTCACCCCTTCCATCTGCAGCCACCCTTCTTCTCCCAGAGAGGAGCGAGGCCCCTCTGCAGTGGAGAGCATCTCTGCCTGGCGAGGTGTCAAGTGCTGCACCTGCACGAACCGAGAGCAGCTCCCCTCTCCATGGCAACTGCAATGCTGCTCTTGCCTCCTTAACCACTCCCTCAGTCCTTTTCCAGGCTGGGACAAAAACACAGCTGAACTGTGGCCCCCAAGGTAATACCTAATTCCCACTAAAAGTACTGCTCTAATTCCAGAGTGGTTGTAGCTGGGGTAAATCACATACAGGTCTTGGTGGTTTGAGGCAATGGGAACTTGTGATGGGCCAGGTTAGCAATTCCCAGCTTGAATTATGTTATCAGATACGACTTGTTAGCAGGCTTCCAAAAACAAAAACAAAAAAAAAAAAAAAAGGGGAATAACTCAGACCAGGAAAACAGACAGTGATGTTCTTGACCACAGAAGTTCCCATCAGGATGCTTTGCCTTGCAGACCATTTTTCTGCCTTCACTTCATTTTCTCCAGAGGTTACTGGTGCACAGGCCTTTGCACAATACAATTCCTGCAGTGGCTGACCTGAATGTAAAACACATTCCAAAGAATGTTTAAAATGACTGAGACACCCCAGCCATCTCTGTTCACTTCAGAGACTCCTTGTACAGCACACCTCCTCAAGTAATGACTTGACTGAAGTACAAAGGGCCTGCAGGATGAAATGCCTGTCACATTCACCTATTTTTCCTGCAGCTGACACTGAACTAACAAGCACATTCCTTCAGTGAAGCCATCAGAGTGTTCCACTCTGAGTCTTGGATCCCTTAATGGAACGAAATGGCACTGAACCTAATTTTGAGCACGTGGGAGATGGACATCTGGAATTAACAGAGCTGGAAAGGGCTCTGTAGTAGGAACTGAAATGGCAACATTCACTGGGGGAAACACAAAAAGATCCAAGAAACCCAGTTACTCCATGTTCTTGAATACTTATCTGCCTTGCTGGGACCTCTCTTCAGGCTCCATACTCACCAGCTGTGCTTCAGAATTGGCTTCCCAGAGTTTGCTTTTGATTCTTTATTGGAAAGAGACCCTGCTCTCTCAGGGACACTGCCATCTCCTCAAAGTCCTAAGGTCTTCAGGGATTCCTCAGTGCTTCAGGTGCTCCCCAGAGTGCTCTGCCCAGCCCAGGCTTTTACCAGGGCAATTAAATCCATCACATTAGAAGTGTGTGCTTAGAGCTTTCCCCCCTCATTTACCCTTTTTAGGGAGTCTGCTGGAGCATTTCTCCTCTCCTGCAGCTTCTTTCCAATACCTGACTCACTAAACACATCTTCATGCTGCAGTGGCTGCTGTTCAGACAATCTGCATTGTCACCTCATCCCAAAAACCACAGGAAAATCCAGGGTCCCTGCATGGCTCCACCTAAAATGAGCTAAAGCTGAGAAAGGCAAGCAGCTCTACAGCAGGGAGGGACATCTGAAGAAATAAGTACCTACAGAAAATAAAGCAAAACCAAACAATCCAAAGCAAAGCCCCACAGGGCAGCAGCAGAGCAGTTCCAGGACGTTGTGAAATGCAGATATATTCCTAGAAACAGTACTGTGTATGAAACCTGAAATGAGTTAAACCATTAAAAAGTGAATTATCTAATTCCTGGGCAGTTGTTTGGACAAAGAAACCCAACAATTTCATTATGTGAATGTGGTATACTTCAGAGGATGGGCAAAGTGGTGCACACTCCCTCTTTTCACAACCTTCCTTATGGCAGGACCTCTGTATCCATTCCCTGAAACACACAAGCCCTTCCAAGAGCCAAGCACTGCAGGGCTTGAAAAATTGCATAAAAACTGAGTTTCAGCTTTTCAGACACAGGAAAACGTTATGCTGTACCATCCAAAAAATTTCGACTTTGCTCTCATTCTACCCACCTATTCCCCTATTGAAAAAAAAACCTGTCAAAACCTCTAAGTAGAGCAGTGAAATAAAAGAACATGAAGCACTCCACAGGTGCCATTGGCACATTAATCTGCCTCAGCTAAGAACTGTCAGTGTCTCATCTCTCATAAGTGATTCTTATTGAAATGTGGACCTGAGGTCCAAGCCAGGGAGTTCACAAGCAAACCAACATCCACTTGCAAACAGCCAGCAGCAGCCAAGTGGTTCCACCTGCATGTGTGGGTTTAGATAAGCACATGGAATGCAAAGCTTTGGTTTAAAGGCAAACGAGAATTCGTGGCAGAAGGGTCTGTTGCACCATCCCTCCTCCCTGAATCCAGACACTGAATCAAGAGTACTGCACATGTTTGCCTGTTACCACTAGCAGTCCAAGCACGTGCTTCAGAACCCTACCCAGACACTTCTTCTACCAGCATATCACTGATCACAAACCAAGATTTCACCACATCTGGTTTTTATAAACCCACGTCCCCGTAACATGTCAGCCTGATAAGTAGAAAACATTTTTAAACAAACATGCAAACCCAAAGGAAGTACATTAAGACAGAACGATGCTGTTCAGAAAACAATGAATTAGTGTGATGATTACCTTCTTGTGGAAAACACTGCAGAGGCCTCTCTCCAAATCTGGCAGCTTGCAAAGAAGATTTTGAATCTGACCAAAGACACTGGATTCTGACAGCAGAATTTCAGACACAGCATCAAGCCGGGCATTTATGTCACTGCAAAAGAAGAAAATCAAGAATTAAAACTTGTGTTTCTCCGGGGGGAAAGGGAAGGCAGTGCATCTCTTCCTGTGGCTTGTTTTGGGTTGATTTGTTTTAGTCTTTGACTAATGCCACATCCTCACGAGCAGCAGAAGAACAGAGGAATGCAGAGAATCTTGGGATTTCATTGCAAAAAGCCAGGTCCTGGCCATGAGCTGATTCTGCCCTGTCTGTGCTCACAGGACACACTGCAGTGCCCAGCTCTGCACGTGTTCCTGGGGGCAGTAACACTGAACCCTGAGTATTCCACCCCACACGTACAGACAAGTGCTGGAGGATGGGCAGAGGGTTTGGAGCTCACTCTGCACCCCATGTGCTTTACCCAATTCTCCAGTTTTTTATCTTCACCCCAGCAGGTTGTAGACACCCCTCACCATTCTGCCCCCTTGTCTGACCCTGACCAGTGACTGGTAATTACCTGGATCAGCACTGCAATGGCTTTTCTACCTTTTTTTTTGCTAAAACCTGTAACATTTATCTCACTATTTCAAGACTGAAGTCAAAGACACATTCTCCTGAAATGAGCAAACACCTTTTTAATGAGAGGAGGTGATTCCATAGTTCTTGGCAGGTCCCTTACAATCATTTCCTTAAAAGCAAAGGGCTGCAGAAAAGGACAACTACCACCAAGTTTCACCCAAGTTTTTACAGAGTCTCCTCTGTATCCTTCCAGCATATCCATGGGCTGGCTGCAGATTGCAGAAGTAACTCCATTTCTGCTTCCTATGGAACCAAATTGCCCTCCTAGGGAAGTACTGAGTCTGGGGGTCAGTGGGTGTACCCAAAGCCCACCACCCAGGCAGTCCAAGGAGAAATCAGTGCTTTGATGCAGACACTCCCCATCCCAGACCAGTGTGTGCAAAGGCAGCCCAGCCCACGTTCTCAGGGACCAGCAAGATGCTCAGAGCTCAGCCAGCACAGAGGGATGGGAAGTAAGGATGCAATCCAAATTTAAGATTTTTTGGAAGGTTGCCTGCCTTGCCCCTGGCTTTTACTGCAGAGGTTTCAGGCCAGTTGCCAGCGTGGCTGCTCATAAATAGTGTCCATGAGGAAATCAAGGAAATTAGGCACCTCCAGAGGTTGCAGACATTACAAGAGTCCAGCAGTCAGAGGCCTCTGGCCCTGAAGACAGCCAAACCTAAGAGTGCTTGAAATTTTATTGCACTTCATGTGAAAGGGGAAATCATAGCTGGTGAGCTCTCAGCTAAACACAAATCTAACAGCTTTCACGTGCCAGGATTGTTGCAGTGCCATCCTGCTTCGTGCCAGGCAGTAACACCAGCTGCTCCCTGCCACAGACAGCAGCCAGAGCAGCCTTGCTGGGCACACCTGGGGCAGGTGCAGCTGGGTCTCACTGCCAGCCCTGGATGGGACAGCACCACAGCACCCACCACTCCCCAGGGCTGGGAAAAATAAAAGGTTTTCCCTGAGGAGAGCAGGAAGGCCAGACCTGGCAGGCACTGCTGCTGCAGGTGACAAGGACACCTGACCCACTGCTCCAGCATGCCAACACACATTGCAGAAATCTCCCCATCCTGTGGGCAGCCAGGTGCCTTGGAAGCAGCTCCCACTGGCAGCAGGGTCACAGGCAGCAACCCGAGCAGGGCTGGCATCAGGGCACAGCCACAGAACAGCCTGAGCACACAGTGCCACCAAACAGGGACATCCTTGTAGCCATGATATTATGAAAAATCCTTTGCTGGGATTTTTCCTCTCCTGAGAAGCTGAGGAGCCTCAGGAGAGAAAGGTAAACAATTACTATCTGCTGCTGTGGAATGCAACAGGTGCATCCATGATTGGTCCATGTGGATTGTTTTCCATTGATGACCAACCACAGCCACCTGTGCCAAGGCTGTGAGCAGTCACAGCATTTTGTTATTCTATTCTGTTCTGTTCTATTCTTGTTGTAGCCTTCTGATCTCTCTGTTCTTTTAGTATAGTCTTAATGTAGTATTTTAATATAATATTTAACATAATAAATCAGCCTTCTGAAATGGAGTCAAGCCTCGTGTCTCCACACACAGAGAGTCATCAACACATCCTGAGGGGTCAGTGTCACCAGCCACTAGCCCATTTTCATGGAGAATTACTGACCACATGAAACCCTGGAACACTTCTCCTCCACATGAGGGAGTACTGAACTGTGAAATTATACACATATGTACCTTGCAGAATACAAAAACCTTTATTTTTCATTAGTAAAAAGCACTGTAAGCAGCAGAACTCTTGTTAGTTAATTTAAACAGGACTACTGCTATGTGGCCAACTGGAAACTGGCAGTAATATGTACAATAGATGCAGATATTTGAAAAACTCCTCCCTCCAAAGCTTAATCTGCACTTTAATCATCCTCACATATGGCTGTGTTAGTGGAGCTCCAGTAATCTAAAACTAAGCATCCATAGTTTTTCTGCTTTAATCCCACCAATAAGAAAGGATCAGGAAAATGGCATTCAGTATCAAGTGACCCATTTTTTTTCCACCTGTAAAGAAAACCTAGTGGGATTCCTATTTCAAAATTCAGAAAGTACAGCTAAGAATTGTCTAAAATACCACATACCCATCAGGAAGGAAGGACTGGGACGAGATACCATAAAAACAGATGATGAATTTCAAAGTACGCTTTCAAACGTCAAATATTTAGATATTTAATATATAAATATTTAAATTAACAAACATTTCATTGAGTGCCAAAGTGTAAATATAAGTATTGCCCCCATCAGTTGCTAAGCCCTCCCAGAATGGCTCTGCACTGCACAGTTTGGGGCTGCCAATCTCTCTATGGCCTGGAAAAGAATTCCAGCACCAGAAAACCTGGATCTAACATTATGCAAAGAGACCCAACAGCCAGCTAAACTGGCTACTGCTTCATGCTGCATTTAGGTGCAATATTAGCCTGTTCTTTCTCATCTGTATAAACCATGTCAGCAATCTGAGCTTTATCCAATTTTCCAAGCAATCTTCTGTGGAATAATGTAACATAATTCAGTCGACTAAAAGCAATACTCTTACTTCTGCCATATCCTCCATCTAAGAATAGCATCATTAATACAATACTAAAATCACTTTTCAGTGTATTTAAACATAACAAAATCTAACTGCAGAATTGTTATTGCAGTCATTTGAAAGAACTACTTGAAGTGAAATAATGAGATACTCCCCTGCATTATTCTGCTGCCAAATAGTGAACAATACAGAAAATTAGAAAATGCGAAGAAGATGTTTGAATCCTGAACTAAAAATTATTTTGACAAAGCAGAAGGCTGCAGACACGAAAGCACTGCACTGAATTAACATCTGAGCAGCCTAAACTGGTTGCTGGTGTGGTAACAGAGATCTGCTGGTCTCTCCTGCAGCAAAACAAACCTGACATTTTTAGATGTGATAATATATCTTTACATTTAAAGCAGAGTGAAATTGATAATGTAACTGCTATGTAAGAGCTAAGGACATTTTCATTTATGTAAAGTATTATTTAAATACAAGGTAAATAAATATAAATTTATCAGAAATCTCTTAACCTATGCTAAATGCACACAGTATGAATTCATTCTTCATGCTAAGGACATAATTCAAGGACAGTGTATGCAATTAAGATTATTTTATTAAATCCATTCTAGGACAACAGTGATGTGCAGAACTGTCAGTCACAGGAATTCAATCCCTTAAAAAACATAATTAACAATATGAAACAACAAACATTGCTTTCCATGGACTGTGATATCTAAATCAAAGCCTAACAACCTCCTAAGTGCAGCACTGCAAAGAATGAAAATGTATCATTTACTCACTTATGTATTATGGGCCTTTTTCTGACCTCTCCTCAGACCAGGGCTGACAAACGAAGACTTTGGATGAGCTGATTAAGGTAAAGACCATGTTAAATGGTAGAGAGTGTCCCCTGCTTGAGACCACTCCTTTGATGACAGGCAACTGATGCCACCGAAGCCCTGGTGGAATTACCAGCGTGCAGTCCACAAACTCAGGATGTCCTTCCAAGGAACAAGCAGCCCTGGGGGCCAGGGGGATGAAGCCCCCAGCACCTGCAGAGCCAGCCAAGGCTGCTGAGGCTGGAGCAGGGGCAGGGATGCCCTTTTCCAGGACACAGAGCCGTGCTGTGCCTGCTGGAGAGCTCCAGAGCACAGCACCGAGGCCAGGGAGCAGCAGGGTCAGCCCCAGGGGACAGCCCTGACCAGAGTGCCCCCCGAAGCTGCTTTGCACAGAGAGCCAGGAGCCCCTCTCAAGGCAGGGGATGCCAGCAGGGATGCAGGCAGGGGGGCCCAGGTGTGACAGCCCAGGGCTCAGACAGCTGCATGGCAACTGCAGCCAGCAACATCCGCGACCCCTCTCTGCCCTTCCTCCTCTCCCTCCTGTCACCCCTCTCTGCCCACTCTGGTCAAACCCACTGCTGTGTGCTCACCCCACTCAGGACCCACAGGCCAACTCCCCTGGCACGTGTGTAATGAAGATTACTAATGAAGATTACTGACTACAAATGAAGATTTGTGCCCTTCTGTGGACCCTCCATCCTCCCCTTCACCACGAGCCCCTGCCCAGTCTTGGGTGCTGCCTTCCCCTCAAGGCTGGGATGCCACCCTTACCTCTGCCTTTTTGCCAAAGTGCTGGCTGAGCTAGACACTGGCTCAGTTATGGGATGAATTTGTTAAATTTGCTGTGAGTGCTGGAATTTTATCCATTAGCACCAATGACATAAGTACAAACAAGGGTAGTTATAAATAGTCCAGTGAAATTTAAGTGAAACCTAAAAAAATTAAGCATCCTTCTGAGTCTGTTCAGTTGTTTTTCAAGTAATTTACTCCCCAAACTCCTGATGTCTCATGGCTCTCCAGAGAGGTCCAACAGGAGAGGACAATCTCCCTGAATGAATCTCAAATTCCGAGCAGCAGCACACAAGCACCCTAAACTTTGGCTTCACATCTGTTAAAAGAACGTCC